GATTATCACCGTATGTCGAAGGTGGAGGCAACGAACGCAACTCATGTTCCAAACTTGTTTTTTTTCCTTTAAGCTTTACTTACCTCGGTGTTTTATCAGCGGGGTCCTCGCAACAGTCAAAAGATGAACCCGGTCAAACAATGACCATGGTGGCTGCTAGGCATGCAGCCTGAGGAGGTTACACAAAATACTCTAGCAGACAGGCACGGTTGGGCCGGTAGGCTAACAAACACCGTGTTTTACGAGGCTGCATTCGGAACGCTTTACCTGCTGGTTGACAGTCAAGTGTGTCAAACAGAGCTTGTTGCTCGCATGCTATGGTTTACACCCACCAAGCAGGTTGCACCAATTTATTTTTAAAGATAATTTTCCCTGATTACTTTCTTGCCAAACGAGATCGGTATATGTTCCGATCGCCACGAGCCGTATGGCGGTGTCATCTGTCCCGTGTCACGCGTATTACGATACTACGCCCTGGACGCCCGGTGCCAGGTTATCTCTCCGGCCGGCTGTCGGTTGACCGCGATGTGCGCGGTCGGGCCAGGCAAATCACTGTCTCCAGAACCGGCACCCACGGTATTTGAACTTACAGTTCCCCCTCCCGAAGATGAAGCGAGACGGGGGCTGTGTCCACCGCGTCCCATACCAGCGGCGCCGCAGTGAGTGGATGAGAAACAGCCCGCTGGCAGTAGGCCGCCCCAGTGCGCTGTCGTTATCAGAAGTCAATACCGACGCATTTTTGCTCTTATCATTTACTGTGCGCGAACGTGGAGATAGCACCTGCACCACAGCTGAGCTAGGGTGGTCCTCACGTACGTCCTATGTCAACCCACGCCCGGCGGGATGGTGGTGTATTGACTTCCCCCATGTTCTTTCAAGCACTGCTAAAAAACGAATGCTTGCAGGAACGCCAAATTTTCAATACCTGTTTATAAACACATTTAGCATGCTTTATACGAATTTGAGGTTTGCCCTACCAAGGTCAGTGACCTAGGCCTGGTCAAAGAGGTTAACCTCAATTGCCTTTGACCACACATAACCTTTTTGTGGGTTGTGTCATTGCTAAGCCCTGCTACAGTATTCGGGCGTGACAGTAACTGAAGTTCACATCTTTCATATTTTTTTTTTTAAACAGGCGAGGTCAGTGAACTGAAGTCAGTTCATTTTTTTACGTTTTGGGGCAAATATTGCAAATCTGTACATATTTTGTGTACCTTTGGTGTCGTTTTTAGGAGGAAAATGGCACTAACTCACATGCACAACCATATGACCACAGAGGACATAACTTTGGCTGAGCTCCGTGACCTACCTATATGGGTGCCGTCTCCAAAACACATGCTTAGCTTAGACTCAACAGTTACATTAGGTACTACTGGACGCGTTATTTGAGTGCTCCACTGAATACATGCTGTGAGATCAATCTGGTACGTGAGAAGGCTGCGATAGGTTACGTGAGGACATGCAAGGTCATATGAGGTCATACAAGGTAAACGACCTCTGTTGTCAGTGGCAGAGACACTAGATGAACGATTGCGATGCTTGAAACCACCGCTATATCGTGTTTGTGAAGCTGATGACGAATAATTTAATGTACCAACGTGCCTGTGCTCAGTTTGCTACAAACACATTATCAAGCGTCGAAGAGGGCTACTATAATGTATGCAACAGCTATGCGATCTTGAGTACTTGTAGATGTACAGTACATTATTTCTGGCCGCAGAAAAACATTGTTCTGATCACTTAGACCAGGTTAGCACTTCGATTGTTCAATTCTCCTTTAATTCTATTTGGATGGTTTTAACTTTGATCTAAGTTGACCAGCTCCTCTCTAGGTCAGTCCAAAATTATATTTTTGTATCTGGGATACTTTTGTCCCACAGCTGCACCCTGCAATGGCCTGACACATGTGGGGAGACAAATATGCTTGGAATGGGCTCCTCGCAATCTTAACGCTTACTTCTGTGTCCTCAATATCCGTCTTGACGTGTTAATATAAGTTTGGAGTGCACCTATCAGAACAACCGTGCTTTACCTTTCGTGACTTCCGGTGACTTCATATTTGACGTGAGGTCAAAAGTTTCGTACGGATTCTTCATGATTTGACGAGGAATTAACAACAGTGTTTTATTTTTCTCGTAAGACGTCCAAAAGTGGAAGATCGCAGAGGGACAGTCAACTTCTTCCAACCAGGCGCAGATTAATGAAAAGACTGTTTTCTGTTCTGGGGGACAAGCACGTCAGCACCAAGGCCAATGCGGGTCCACATGGACGTGATAAATGGAGCCGTTCTTTGTATTTTACCCGCTCTTGATACCATGTATCTCATTCGCACTGAGTCAAATGTCACACGCATTATGCACATGACGTTGCACCAGTAGACCTACAGGTGTGTTACTTGTACCTAGCTGCACGCATACAGCTAGGTACAAGGAATACAACTGGTGTCTGAACGCCGTTTGATGTATATTGGATATACATACATGCATATATATATATATATATATATATATATATATATATATATATATATATATATATGCTTGCTTGTGTTTAACCTATGGCAACAGGTGTCATAGGAAATTTCATTGTGCGTTCAAAAAACTGGCCAGACATGAAGGCTGATCGAACTGAAAGAGATAACAGAAGACGCATCGGATGCGGAGCAATCAAGTGCGGGCCCGGTTTCGGATGGACATGAGAGAGTTCAGCCAGCGCAGTTGGCGGCTGTGCACAGGCCGGCGGCCGCGGCGTACTCACGCTTGGCTGCGGCGGGGGCGGGCTGGTCGGCCTGCGTCAGTCGCTGGGCCTCTGCCTGGTCGCGGTCTCCGTTCTCCATCTGAGGTGCGCGGGGTGCCACTGCGAGGACAGAGCCACGACCGCGCCGACCGTCCCTCACCGTCTGCCCCGACGCCGGCGATCAGCTGGCGCCAGAGGACGGCACAAGGTGACCGGCGTGTCGTCGGAGATGCCACGCGCAGCCCCACCCCCCGACCCCCCAAATCGATCTGTGCAACGTGCCGGCCCCGCCGCCGCCGCTGCCGGCCACTGCTGCCTGCTCGTCCGGCGGCGCCGAGGTCCGTTCCGGGGCAGGTCAGACCCCGGTGACCTGGCGCCAGCCAGGCCAGTCGCCGCCCGCCGGCGGACCACGCTCCGGGGCAGGTCAGACCCCGGTGACCGGGCGCCAGCCGGGCCAGTCGCCGCCCGCCGGCGGACCACGCCGTCCCCGCGTGACCGTCGAGCGCCCGCGGGCATCGCCGACGAGCAACGAAGCTATAGGGTGCGCTGACGCAACTTCGCCGGCGAAGTGACGCAAGCGAGCGAAACGGGGACGCGACGACGGCTCCGCAGAAGCTGGTGAGAGGGGCACAGGACATGGTCATCGAGGTCACCGACGGTTGGCATGGTTACGATTTGTGTTAACAAAACGTTGAACTCCTGCCGTCCTACGTTTGGCTTAAAACGCGCTTCGTACACTGTGAGTCGCTCGTTATTGGAACAGATGAATCATTTCTGATGTAAGGGTAAACATGCATCGACAGACACGTGGCCGGAACTTTCCCCATCAGGCGGGGACCAAATGTCAAGCTTTTTCCGAGCTCCTGCAAAATTAGGCCGAATTCTTGCGCAGTCAGCAAGCATTTAGTGTCAACCTGTTGCCTCAGCAGCGTGGGGATGGGGCACGGCCCACGTGGCCGTCTTGGACGCGTGCCGGGCGTGGACGGAATTTCACATCGACTTTTTCATATCCTGGTGTTCTGAGCACCGATAGTTCCCATACGCTTTAGACGCACGTCATGACAGCATGAGAAATTCTGAAGGCAAGGCAACTGCAGCACATTTGTCGTGTCACCCGGCATAGTTTCGGTCTGATGGCAACGGCAAGAGAGTGAAGCCACCAAATGGCTAATAAGAGTCGAGTCAGAGCTGGGCACCAAGAAATAACTGGCAGCCCGCACATCACAAGCGGCATAGCAGGAGTAGCACGCCGACCCCTGCAGACAGCACCAGGCAGTGACGAGTACGTCAGCATGAGGCACAGGTACGCACAGATGGCTCTACATGGGCGCACAGCTAGCCAGCTAGTGAGCTAGTCCTTCTTTACGTATGTGCGTGCATATAGCGCGTATGTGTATTCGTGTGCGTAGCCCCCTTATGGTTCAGCGGGGTTGTTCGTTTCCCCAACTCGCCGTTGGATTCTCTTTTGCATGTTGTGATTCACAATTGGATGTCCTTTGCGTGGCGACATGGCGGGGTTGGCATTGCCGCAGTGATCTCCACCTTTCTGTCGAAATTTGCTCCGGGACGGCCCGGATTCACAACAGCTGTTGCTGGTGCAGAGAAGGGATCACACATGCGCAGCTGCGACAAGGGGAGGACAGCTGCAGCTGTGCAGTCAGCCTTCTGTCCAGGGGCCACATGTTGCTTGTAATTTTGATGCGCTAATTGCATATCACCGTCGATTCGACTGCATGCTCTCGACGACAAAATTAAATAATGAGCAGCGCGCGGAATACTCATCAGTAGCAGCTATCTTGGCGTATATAGACCGTACCGTACACGAGCGCCGAATTGATGCAAATGCCCTTGTCGCACCTAAGATTCCCAGGGAGATTCTGCTAAAAGTAAAATACGAGCATGTTAACTCACAAGTTGAAGAATGGAGTACGGAGACAGAAGCACGCGCGCCAAGCCTGGCCTACCGCGTCCTCCTGGACCCGGCAGACCTTGGTCCTGGCGGCGAGCTGCCCCCTCCCAGATTGATCGGGACGGTAGTGGCGGGATGCGGCACCAGCTTCGCTTACAGTGGCAGGCGCAAGTCGACGCGAGGCTTCGCGGCCGGCGGTGCGCAAAGGCCTCGCAACAGAAATTGCTTACTTGCACTTGACATGCCCGCTCTCGCAACCGGCCAGCGTCCCTCGGCTTCGCGCGCTCTCACCGGGGCCGTTCGCCTTGCCACGTACAAGACGCGCCTGTCATCACAAGCACCCGCCGACTTCGACTAGATAATGTATTATACACCTGCTCGCAAGTGACAACGGGGCTCACAGCAGTGCAACATGATACAACATCAATCAACAATTGGTCCACAGGTTTCTGATGGCTGGCCGGGGCTCTGGGCGGGCCTGTGCGCCCCCGGCAGCCTGCCGGGGGCGGGGGCGGGACCGGGGCGCCGGCTCGACGCTGGGCTTCAGCATGATCCACCGCTACAGAGACGGGCGCCGGCGGGTGGCCTCCCCGAGCGGAGAGGAGTCCCCCGGCGGCGGGCCCACTGGCGGCGGGCGCGCGGAACAGCCGGCCGAGGCGGGGTCTCCTTCCGACCCGCCGACGAACAGCACGCAATCGAACACACGCATCGCTCTGTGCACGTATCAGTCGCGGCACGCCGTCGAACAGAGTGGTGGTGGCGGCGGCGGCGGCGGCGGCGGCGGCGAGGCCTGCGAGCGCCCGCGCTCCGCGGGCTGAGCTGTGGTCGGCAGGCGAGCCGCTAGAACAGATTCATCTTGCTGACGGCGATGGCGGCCAGGGCGCACGCCACACCGCAGGCCAGCAGCTTAACCGGAATCGACTGCGGAGAGAAGCCGGCGTCACAGCGAGCAAGCAGGGTGGGAGGGTGGTGCGAGCGAGGGTGGTGGATCGGGGTCATGAAGCATGTAACGCCCGTGGCCGCGGGTTATGCGCTATGTTGGGGTTGGCCATCGTAGCCACGGTAAAGTAACGTTGACACAACAACGTTGCAACGTCAACCCGCGATCCACCATCGCGCTGCTTCATTCTGGGCGGACGGAAATCGGCTGTGGGGAACATACACAGGACCGGATTATGGACCGTGTGGTGGACTGCCGTCCGATGGAATGGGCTACACAGGGTGGGTGGTGCGCTGCAGAGTGGCTGGGCTGCGACGCTGAGCAGCCACGGAGCAGCCAGTCAGTGGATCGAGTATCGCTCCAGCGCAGCCAAACACAAACAGCCCATAGGAACTGAGTGGTAGACAACAACGTGGTCTTTCCGCACGCTCCACAACTGCTAGCACTTCGTCAAAGCATTGGACGACAAGTAGCTGAGACCCAAGCTCGTACCCCGCACGGTGGCACGGGGACAGCTGCATGATAAGACAAGCCAAACTTCAGTTAACCTTATCTTCGGATGGCTGCAAGAGGATCCAGTCACTCAGAAAATGGCAGCTCATATGGCGCCCGCGCACCACTGGGACAACCGGTCAATAACAAAACAGCCTGCTGCTGAAAACTGGCCGACCCGTTCACACGACACCACAATACGCGCGCGAGCAACATACCACGCGTATGATCTCCGGTCGCTAGCCCCGCTCCCACGGATTATCCAGCCGCGAGGCGCCGGTTGCTGCAGTGCCAAAGTATACACCGTGGGGCCGAGGGCTGCGCGGCCACGCCGGGATTCGCATCACTCAACGGACAGGCGACACTTGGCACGCCTTTGCCAGGCTGATGGTGCCCCAGGCAAACACTCGATAAGGACGACGGCAACGGCGAAGCCCACAGTGACTCCGGAACGGCACCGAAAGACCTGGTGCCGGACTGAGACTGCCACACCGGCCAGACAGGACAGTGCTGCCAGGTGACGAGACAAACCATGACCACAGTGCCGGACTGAGACTGCCACACCGGCCAGACAGACAGTGCTGCCAGGTGACCAGACAAACCATGACCATAGCGGCGGACTGAGACTGCCACACCGGCCAGACAGGCAGCGCTGCCAGGTGACGAGACAAACCATGACCACAGCGCCGGACTGAGACTGCCACACCGGCCAGACAGGCAGCGCTGCCAGGTGACGAGACAAACCATGACCATAGCGGCGGACTGAGACTGCCACACCGGCCAGACAGGCAGCGCTGCCAGGTGACGAGACAAACCATGACCATAGCGGCGGACTGAGACTGCCACACCGGCCAGACAGGCAGCGCTGCCAGGTGACCAGACAAACCATGACCACAGCGCCGGACTGAGACTGCCACACCGGCCAGACAGACCGTGCTGCCAGGTGACCAGACAAACCATGACCATAGCGGCGGACTGAGACTGCCACACCGGCCAGACAGACCGTGCTGCCAGGTGACCAGACAAACCATGACCGTTGCGCAGCATTGGCCACATATCCTGACGACCCATGGCAGCTATCTACCTTTCCGGGCGCGACGGTGACCGCGGGCTTCGGTTCCGCCGGCGGCAGGCCCAACATCTTCCTATACAGGCTCTTCTGCTCCTCCGCCAGCTTCCGCTGCCGCGCCTGACAGAGGGGGGGGGGGGAGGAGGCATCAGACACCGCTGCAGGCAGCACCTGTCAGACACCACTACATACAGTACCAGACAGGGCACGTCAGGCGTCAGACAGCGCTGCAGACATGCCAAACAGCAGCAGCCTCTGCAGACGCCGCCGTGTCCGTCAGGCACAGCCCCACACGAAAGCAGACAGCAGGAGCCCGTCATACAGCAGACTCCTCCAGACAGCATCAGGCAGTGTCGGGTGAGTCTACATGGGACGCGGGTGCGCTCAAATGCCACACAGCCGCACAAGCTCACGCTTGTCCATGCACGGTGGCACCTCCGTTCACACCGTAAACCAAAGTCGGTTCAGTACAGACAGCTTTTTAACAGAACATGTGTTTCCGTAGGATAAATGTAGCACACTGCCGTTTGTTCTTCGTAAATGACGCTTCCCAAGCCCATCGTTATACGCTACATTGGGCTTGGGAAGCGTCATTTACGAAGAACAAACAGCAAGCCGCCACTAGGTGCACCAGGCAGATGAGCTTCTTGTCGTGGTTAATTCGGGTTTTTGGGCGCGAGGGGCAAATGAGCACTGAAAACTCAATGCAGCATGCAGTTTTATGAGACAGACTCATTATTCATGCATGTCTACGCACTTGCTTGCAACTATGACCATGTCTACACACAGGTCCTCGGTCAATGTCCCCGATTTTGTTTCGTGCTTTCCAATATCAGGTCCCAGGGCTGCAACCCTGACGCCTCGTGCCCACCACTGCCCCGCTATGCCTGTCGCCCACAGGCAGCCCGTTTCCGCCGACCGGCGGGCGGACAGCTCACCTGCAGACGGCTGAGCTCGGCCTGCACGGTCCGGTTGTCGGGGCTGTGCGTCAGCGCCAGCGTCAGCGCCTCGGCCGCCTCCGACAGCTTGCCCTGCGCGATCAGGATCTTGCCCTTGCGGTACAGCGCCTTGACGTTATGAGGCTGGCAGCTGAGCACCACCTGCACGGAGCGCAGCGCCGCGTCGAACGCTTCCAGCTTCATCTGCGCCGCCGCCATGTTGTTGTGCACCTTCAGCCGCTCCTCGAACAGCACGTGCACGTCGTCGGGCAGACCCTGCGGCGGCGTGGGGAGGGGCGTCAGGCTGGCGTCCTCGCTGCGGTCAGGCGGGCCACGTGGGGAGGGCAAGGCGGAGACTTGGACGCGGTCCGAGTCAAGTTCAGGATGAGGATGCGCGTCTGACACCACTCAGACTGGGACATGGTAACAACCGGGACAGTCAGCTGCACGTGGCCCACGTCCACGTCCACGCGGCGATCATACAGAGCGGCCCGATCTGTGCGTTTTGGTGCTGACTTAGCCCAGGTGTGATAGAACACCCGTTGGATGGAATTCAGTCAACAGAAACGGCACCATCGCCACCTGACCACCATCTGGCCTGCACCCCCGCTTCAGCGCAGCCCCTCGCACGATCCGTCTAGTCTACAGGCGCCAAGCTTGGCACCCTAGCCCACTCCCCGAGAGCCGGCTCGGGCCCACGGCGCACCGTGAACTCGTCGGTCTCGTTGTCGAAGAAGTCCAGCGCGCGCCGGTAACACTGGATGGCGTGGTTGAAGTCGTCCCGCTTGAACCACCAGTTGCCACGGTCCCGCTTCGCGTTCCTGAAGCAGAACAGGGCGAACCTGGAGTCCCCCGGAGAGCAAATGGCACAAGACCGGGTTTCGGGCGATTCGCGCCACAGACAAGGTCGATCGCCTACGGTGCGCGGAGGCAATGATGCTCTTCCTCTTTGAAATAGTCGGACACATCAACTAGTAACGGCGAGGGCATCTCACGCATTGCGACCAGTAACACCGAGCGAGCGGCGCGCGCTGACCCGCGGACCGCGGGCGGGCGGCCCCGGCCCCCCAACGCCGGCACTGTGTACTCACCCGACGACGAGCCGCTCCTGGGCGCTCATCTCCTCGTACTTGGGCTCGGGCTGCACGTCCACCAGGCGGACGGTGAACGTCAGGCTGGCGTTGGGCGGCACGCCCTCCTCCAGACCGCGCTCACCGTACGCGAACCTGGCGGCGCCATCACGGCTCGTGACGTCACTGGGACACGGCTCGTGACGTCACTGGGACACGGGTCGGGCGGCTGCGCGGCGTCAGCAGGGGCGTTACTGGGCTGATGGGCCGCACGCACAGGGAGCTAAACGGTCACCGCTGCTTGCACAGCTGGCTGATAGACTTAGCGATTGAGGGCTTCGGTATCACAGGAAATAGATACATGTGAGTGGCATGCCACCCAACATTGCGCAATCCTGACAAGCCACACACGTTCACTGAAATGGTAAGAAAAAAAACTATGATGCTTCTCAACTTTCGTACGTTTAAGTACGCTACATATGTAAATAATGCCAAGGCAAGTGGAAACGTATATTTCCGTGAACCAGGCCAAGCACGGAGTCAATTTTGGCCTGGCTAGAGACAAGGCTTAAAATCCCGTTCAACATCCATACTTACAAGCATGACAAACCAGTGGTGAACGCAACATATCCCAACCCAGAACCGCCAGCTGACCAGTGTTTCCCCCCTATCCAGATCTGTTTACTCCACCGACAAAACGACCCGTTATCTGCAGACATTCTCTAATCCTCTCTAACGCCGTAATCTGCCCGCTCCGTAGAGGGCTTCGTATCTGATACTGGGGGTCGCCTTGGCCGCGCCGTCGGACCACCATTGACTGCTTAGATCGTCCCACGAACGCCCCAACAGCCGGGCCATCACGGTCTGAACCTACCGGACTCTTACTCGTGCCCTCCTGACCGGAGTCCCCGCCCGAGCCCGTCCAAATCGGCCGACGGGAGAAGGCTGGGTGACCGACCTGGGCTCCATGAACACGTCGGCTGTCTCGCCGGGCTGCATGAGGCCGACGGCCATGTCCAGACCAGTGATGACCTCGCCGTCCCCGAGGCCGAACGTGAGCCGGGCCGGCAGGGCACCCGTCTGCCGGCCGTCGGCCAGCCGCGCCGACAGCTCCACAGTCACCACCTGGCTGCGCCGCGGCCGGCTCTCCCGATCGCCAGAGCCGGGAGTCAGCACCTGAGGTGGACGCAGGCATATGTCGAGACGAGAGGTGAAACGGCAATGCGCGCGAAACAGCCCAGCCCAAGAGTCAGCAACGCGCTGCCACATCGAAGGCGCCTTAATGCACAAGCGCATGGAGGATAGTTTTCTATCTGTGTGTTCCTTTGGATAGTTTCCTATCCAACGGAACACACGAAACAAGTCTCAATAAAGTCGCGCACATAAATTTTGCCCTGACGCCATAAACATACCATTTCTTTGTTCTTGAAGCCCATCTACCTACTGCTAAACACTGCAACACACCGTAGTGGTAAGTGCGGCCCAGTCACCTCCCATTGCCGCCCGCCCACCTTTTTCTTGAGTTGTCCATTGCCGACGATGTCAAGCCAGCCGTCATCGTCGCTCTCGGGGTCGCGGCGACGCGCGTCCAGCTCCCGCTGTAGCTTGGCATCGCTCTTGGCGCGCTCGATGGTGTCGGAGACGACGGAGCGCGCCAGCTGCTCGACGTCGGCCATGGCTGGGCCGCGCCGCTCCGCCATTGAGCCGGGGGGGCCAGGCGTCGGCTCGGGCTCCGTGTCGCAGCCCGAGTCGTCCGCGCCTGACTCGCCGGCCCGCTCCGACGGCGCGTCCGCAGCGGCAGCCGCTGGCCGCGCCGCCGGAGACGGAGTGGCGGCTGCTGGCGGGGAGGCGGGAGCCGGATCCGACGGCGGGGAGGCGGGAGCCGGATCGGACGGTGGGGAGGCGGGAGCCAGATCGGACGGTGGGGAAGTGGGAGCCGGATCGGACGGTGGGGAGGTGGGAGCCGGATCAGACAGTGGCGCGGCTGGAGTGGGCTCAGAATGCACCTTCACAGAGCCCATGGGCTCCACGGGTGGCGCCAACACTGGTGCCTCAGAGGGTGCATCGATAACAGGAGGGTCTTGAGCTGGTGTTGACATGGGTGGTAAGTCAGCTGCTGCTGGGAAGGCCTCAGGCAGGGACTGTACTGGCAATGATTCAGGTTTGGGTGGCAGTAGCTCAGCTGTGGGAGCATCTCCAGAGGATTCTGCTGCAGCATGGTGAAGCTCAGGCTCCACCTCTTTCACTTCTGACATGGCACTTGGTAGAAAATGTTATAGGTGGCAAGATCTGAAAGAAAAATACCATTTCATGCATTGGCTGCACTGTTATATTAATAGCATTTCAGATAGTTTTGATAAAAACACTGAAACCAAAATATTTCCCTGACATATTTTGGGTATTGCCTGTCCCAAACAAATTATCTTTATCAAGTAATGCATCATAAATAGCATCCAATCAATCAGCCATCTATTCTGCAGCAACAAGAAGGCTATTGGTGCTAAAAATGAATTCTGAATGCTGAATCTAACTGAGACAAACTGAACTGCATTCAAGGACTGTTGGCTGAGGTGGTATGCCCATAACATACTGTAGAATTGTATGTAGAACTAACACACTTGCAGGCATGCTCAATGATCATGATTGATGGATAACAACTATATATTATTTAAACACAAAAGGTTCCAGTTCTGTTACATCACAGGTCTAAGGCAGGTCTCTGATGTGCCTGGTGACATTTGGACAATTTTTCATGTGCAAGAACACACTGTTAAATAGTCATTGTGCATTTGTGTTGCATTATGCTCTAAAATCAAAACAAGGTTTAAGGGAATAATTGTACAATTATTGTACCTCAAGGGTGCATCAACAGCAATGGCCTTCTGAGCCCATTAAAGGACTATGTATGGTATGCAATAGCAAAACCTTGCACTTATGTCTTGAGGAAACAGCACACACCAAAAGGTAAAGAGAAGTACATTTGCTGTCAACAGCTGGCATGTGGATATCACCTACCTATAACCCCACAACTCTGGCATCAATCGGTTAAGTCAGCCGGTGCTATATGAAGTTTACACCACTTGTTCATAGTCCTTGCCAACAATACATCACTCAGATGACAGGCAATCTGCATGCACCATGCCACCTGGCTTTTCCACATAACTGATAATCTGATTTGTGGGTACCAGCTGATTCAGTACTCTTTTATGTTCAACCGACGCAAAACTGATCCTCCTGAAAAATATACGGCGAACAAGGCCTGGGGTCTTTTCGCTATTTCTTGCCCGTGCCTTAGCCTGAAACAAAATAACCAATGCAAATCTGTATTCAAATGTCACCAAATTCCTCTAACGCCGTAACTCGGCGCCTTGCTGTTAATTTCCATGCACCTTCATGCTACGACACCCACCTACCTCGACACCCCCACCCTCGTACTACCTCCTCCGACGCTTCCCGAACAATCACAATAGCGCAACAATAGCGTTCCGTCGTAAGCGGCGATTGCAGCGCGCTGCGCCATTGTTTACAAGAGTGCTGTAAGGTATCGCCTAAATTGCAGGTGTTTTTCTTTAATCACATGACATCACCGACACTTCAAACGCCCATCCTGCAACACGATGTCATACTTCGGTGTTTTAAGTGTACCCAGCAGCAGGGTGCCGCAAAATGAGCACGGAGAGCGAGTGGGCAGTGAAATACAAGCAAAACTACCCCCATTTCACCTAAAGGTCCAACTGGGTGCGGAATTGCACCCCTGGAATTGTATTCATCTGATCTGTCGCACTAAATTGGTAGAATTACATTATATTAGCCAAAACTTGGATTCTTAGCCGTTATTATTCAGCCAATCAGCCAAAAAAGGCGTTGCCACGCTTGAGCGACATTTTTGAGCATTTCTTCCACGGACATTTGTTTGCACTTCTGTTTCGATCAGTCTATCACATACGTACGCAACGGGAAGCACACAAGCTTGAGTCTCTCCTGACATTTGGGTCTTCGAACATCGATGAATATTGAGATAAGAACATGAGCGACACCTCATATGACACCACCGAATGTAGCGCACATGAAGGTAACAGGGTGAGAGGCTCCAGACAAACAAGCACGAGCTGATGAGGGCATACGCCTGCTGTTCGCTAGATTGGTCTCATGGCAACTGTAGATGATCTCGTTGTAAAAATCAGCCGTGTGTAACCGAGCCCACGAAAACCCTAAAAGACATGAGTTACTATGTATTTCAACTACGGATATCGTAAACAAATGTCAACCATTCCATGCCCGCACACACACACACACACACACACACACACACACACATTTGTAGCTAAAGATTGGACGGTTTGCAATCGAAAACTACACTAAAATAGTGTTGCCATAAATGTCCCGCAAACCAGACGCCTGCCCGTGTGCCATTGGAATGTGCCATGTCATCATACGTCATATTCATTACCTCTCACCCAACACCGATAGAAATTGTATCGCGCTCACACATTATGCTGCAGCGGGTACGACACTCCGCGACACGCGATTAAGCATAGACTAATGAAGTGAGGCACGCGTTCCATTGGCACCGTTAGTTACGACAGCCTCGGTTTCACACAGCATAGCGGCTCGGTCGGCGCTGCCGACGTCAAGGCTTCATCGGACGCTGTCCCCGCCGCCGGCGCACCGGAACCCGGTGACAAAACCAAGGCCTATCACTTCAGCATCTGCCGGCGACCGGCTGGAGGCCAGACCCGGATCAGTGGGCTCTTCGTCCCTAGGGCACGCGCAGACAGATACCGCACTCGACACTGACCAAGGCGCTTCCGCGTCGCCGCCGGTCGCACGCCGGAGATGCACGTGAAAGACGCGGGCGCGCTTCAACGAATTCGTGCAGCGACGGCGGGGCCGTGATGGGCGGATACTTGCATGATTCGTTTTGAAGATTCGGCGTAACGTGTCGATTCAACCATCAAACCCCGACTCCCTACACCAATCTTGCCATCAGAAGATACCGTCGGCGGGTATCCATATACTATTGTACAAGTATGCGACAACACAACGCCGCACTATGGTCTAAATGCTTCACTACATAGGGATAAAAATTACGTTTTTACATCCAGGCACGCCCTGCCAATTCAGTCCTGTTGAGATGTTCCGATGCGGCGCAGCAGCCTGCATCGGTCCGCAGAATAGGGTGGGCGCAGGACTCCTGGTTCGGATCACGACTGGCATGCCCTGCGCTGGGTAGAAGGCCTTACACAAGGGTTTGTGCGTGGTAGTTCGGACGGCTCTCAATAAACGGTACTACTGCAGCGGTCCCAAGGGGTTCTTCATGATCGCATCTCTGCTCTCCACCTCCTCCTTCGCCAGTTTCTTGGACAGGTAATCCCTAAAAATGGCGCACCGGTCAACCATTCAGAGTATCATGTGACGTGGCGCAGGGCACGGCGCGTCGAGGAAGAGGCACACACGTCACATCACCTGGCGTTGGCCTTACCGGAGAAACAAACGGCAGCTCACCATCGCACACCACTTTCATTGAGAAACAGCACGTGAACCAGGTCGACCTACTACGGGTCGCCGTCTCGGCCAGGTCCTCCCCTCTGCCGCGCCAAAGAGCCATCTCCACAGCCGGTCTCCACCAGACCCTCCCCCCGCTCCTCAGCTCGGTCCAGCCCCACTCACCAGTTGTGCACCATGATCTTCTGGACGGCCAACAGGGCGCACAAGCGCACGTTTGGATCCTCTGAGAGCATCTTCTCCATCACCCGCTGTTTGCCACCCAGAGTCTCCAGAACGCTGCAGCGACGACCGACGCGTCAGACGGCACCAGTGACGTTACAAAGCAGCGCGGTAGAGACAATCACATCCTACTGCTAAACACACCCCGCACCTTACGATGATTTGATACACGATAGATTGCCGCGGGCTGCAATCTGAAGCAAATTACTGAAGAAAACCAACAGCAATGCACCTTGTACGGCAGATACGCTAATATCATCCACAGAGTACCACATTAGCAGAATGGTAGAACATGTACTGAATACGCTGAGTTAAAATTAGAGGCACTTTACAGCACAATCTTGTGGCATTTGCAGCACAGTCTTGAGGTCAAATGCCCAGTGCCATACGAGTTCGGGTTCTTATGATTTGTTATCAAGCAGGATCACTGGGACGGCCCGCACCAGCCGCGGCCCAGTCCCGCCACCGGGCACGATGTCACACCACTCACTGTTTTCCCCTGGGGTAGTGTCGGACGTACTCGCCGATGTCGTGGCAAGCCACGCTGACCACCAGGGGGTCCTTGGAGGTCTGGATCAGGTGGATCTGACGACCGTAAGCCGGCGGCGGTCACGGACGACACACACGGAGACAGCCGGCACAGGTCATGCGATATGGGTCGTGCCCGCGTCACCGAGAAGATGAGCACCGGGCTTCGAGGGATGCCGGCGATGCTAAGAAAACCATCTAAACCGAACGGGAGTGAACACAGAAATCTTGTTAATTATCTGTACAGACGAACTTTTCCTTGGAGACGAGAACATTTCAGTGGTACAAACATTCCTGTGCGGGACATATACATATTTGAAGCAATGCCAGCAGCGATCACGTATTGAAGTGACGCATTCTGGTGGTGGCGGCGGTGGCGGCGCGTCCCACCAGCATCTTGAGCAGCTGGTAGTTGTTGTCGTTGAGGCGGCTGGCATTTTCGCGCCAGAATTTGTCCGACTTGTGCACCAGGGACCACTCCAGCCGGCCAGACTTCACCTCGGTGGTGTACTCATCCAGCGAGCTGCGGCGGCGCCGGGCGTCAGGCACGCGCCGGCCCGGCGGCGGCGGCGGCGCCACTGAGGCGACAGCGCACATCCGGCCTGGCATCGCGACCGAGACAGCCCGGCGGCGGGGTACGCGTGGACAGGCAGTGGTTAACGCAGACGCGTTAACCACTGCGGGTCTGGGAGACCAGAGGTACGGCATTCGATTCCCCGCGGTGCCCGCCCTTCCTGCCAGGGTGAGAGGCAGGCGGCACCACAAAGCCTCAACAGCTGAGTGCGTCGTAAGCCCCAATGACGACGAATACCACGTGGACAGGTGTGGACTAAGGAAGAGCAAAAAACAAAGACGAGAGAGTGAAGACCGAATCGGGTCTGAAAACGTAAGCACGTATGCGGTCAGGGACGGAAACAGATGTATGAGGAAACATAAATATCTGAAAGCAGAGCGAAATGGCACGGTTCAGTCAGAGTCGGACAAAAATATAGACATCTGAAAAAGAGACAAAGACAAAAAACATGACTAGCACTACGTGGTAGTCATGTTTCTTTCACCATCAGCCAAGGCAGGTGTGCCCACGGCCCCAGCCGGGCCGGACGGCCGTACTTGAGGTCGTGCACGCTGAGCGTCAGCTTCTCGGTGAGGTAGTCGACGTCGGCGCGCAGGTCCTCGTCCGTGTTATAGCGCTGGCCAATCAGTTCCAGGTGGCGCAGCACCTTGCACTGCACCATCTGGATGGCGTTCTCGCGCGCCAGCGACGCATTTGTCGGCTTGTCCACCAGGTTCTGCCGGACGGCGGAGACGAACGCGTCAGGTACGGCCAGTCGGACAAGACGAGCGAGGGGCAGCGCTCCCTCAGCGCTCCAGTCAGACCAGTCACACGGCAGCAGCGTCCAGCAGGCTGCAGCGCGCTGCGCCGCGTCGCAGCCCTTCTAGTCCGCATCATCGATCGCGGAGAATGACATTAATCGGCAGAAGCTAAACGCGCCCACGGTCCAGACACACACGAGCGCATATCTCACGGAGTTCAGCACGAGACTCATACCGAGCACTCACGCGCACACACGCACGCGCACACACGCACGCACGCGCATGTACATACGCACACACACACACACACGCGCGCCCAAGATCATGTCACACGCCGTGAACAGATCCGACTCTGGCAGCGCGGGTTGACGGCCTCGGGTCCCGGCCAGCGCGCGCCCTCAGAGCCGCACACCCAGCACGCACCCGGAACGTGGCGACGCACATGCGGACCACCTTCTCCTTCTCCGTGTCGATCAGGACGTCGGAGAGCAGCGGTATCATGCTGTACCTGGCGGCAGGTGGGGGCGGCTCGCGCGACTCGGTGGACCCCATCCGCCGAGCGGCACACAAACGAGACAACACGCGGTGCCACCTGGCACGGTCTGCACGCGAAAGGAGAGCAGCATGGACAGGTGGTGCACCACCGAACAGACCACGGCTTGGGCGTCCCGCCAGAACGAAATCCGTGCCAATGAAGTCCAAGGATAGATTGTGAGGTGCGCTGCCAGCATGGGCCTGGCGCCGGCGTCTCAAGCGTGGGTCGTATATCCGAAAGGATCTTCTCGCCATATTTCCTCTGAAATCCTGAGCCTCGGCAGACCATTCGAGAAAACTGCCTCAAGATCCCGATTCCAGGAAGACCTTATCGGTCCGCTTCCTAGGCAGACCCCAACTCTGAATCTAAGCCGCGTAATCAAGACCCTACACATCCTGTTCTGGCGTCCCCGGCACAAGTCCGCTTGGATAATGCGCCGACCTCGTCGCACAAAGTCGGCGGGGCCGCCACGGCCACCGGCTCACTTGCTCATCTCCTCAGCGACGTCGGCGTTGAAGGTGAGCACCCAGAGGCAGAAGACCAGCTGGTACTGGCACTGGAAGTTGACGCCCGACGAGAGCACGGCCAGCAGCGTGGCGACGCCGTCAACGCGCAAGAAGGCCAGCCGGTACTGGTCCAGCCGCAACATCAGCTGCAGACAGCGCACCACCGTTGGCAGGTACTGGTTGTCCTGCGGGCGGCGCGGGCGGCTGTCAGGCGCCGTACACGTCGGCTGGCGGGCTGAGGTGTTACAGAGTGGCTGGCAGTCTGCGACTATGACTGGCGACTGGTGACTGGCCGTCTTCAAGGGAATGCTGTGCACACACACACACACACAGAGATCCGTGCACAGTCATACGCGGGAAGTCGAGTGGACGGTATCGGTTGCTAACGCCGGCCAGCCATTTTCGTGCCGTGGTTGTAACCAGTATGCATCGGCTTAAGACAGAAGCACTGAAAACGTTCACACCAGTATCTTCGGTAACGGTCCACAGCTCTACGCACAAACCAGGACAGAACGAGGCCAGGCCAGTCTCTGCGGCCGGGGCGAGCCCGTCGGCCAGCGGCGCCCGCCCCCGGGGCCGGCGGGCCACTGACCGGCTTGCGCAGCTGGTCCTTGAGCCAGGTCATGTAGAGCTGCAGGTCGGAGCCCTCCATCTGCGGACCACCGTCGCTGGCCAGCCGCGCCAGGATCCAGGCCGTCAGGTTGACGCTGATGTCGTCCGGCCTGTTCAGCAGGTTCAGGAACGGCGCCCAGACGCTCTCGCCCTTGCGGCGCGCGTACTCGCGGAACACCTGGCCGTTCTCCTTGTCCTGCGGGCCGGCCGGACGCGGACCACCGTCACCCGCCATCCCGGCGACCGCGCGCCTGGGCTGACCACACACTGCCCGCGCCTGGACGGCCCGTGTGAGTACGCCCCTAGCAGCTCCAGACCTTGACAAATAACTGGTAGCTGGAGCTGCGACTAAGCCGTTTATAACCAGTTCGGTGCTCGCGGAGCATGTGAGGTTCTCGAATCATAACCGATATCACGGCACGTCACAGCCCGGTCAGCACCGGTTCTCCCAGAGCCAGCCGACACACCAGTGCCCACTTCCTCATGCACTTCGAGCCCAAGCTCCGCACATTCAGGGAGCAAACTGTGACGTCATAGAGCCGCGTTTATGAACGACGTCTTGAATTCCAAATACGGGCAACGAGAAGAGTCAGCTGATTCAGGTCCATGGATACATATACCGCGCAGGAATGGCGCACCTGATTATCATCCGGTGGAACAGTTATTGACAAGTTCTGTGGCTAAAAACATAATTATCGGTCACGCTATCCACATGTCATCGAGACATGCCCATTTGCCCCATATACAGGACTTGTTGCTAGGCGTGGCTATATCAACAACGACGGCTTACTTCAAAACAAACGCACCTCGCCTATCGACTATGTTAGCGATGGATTTGGGTCGTGACGTCACAAGTGAGTCCGGAAGCTGCGTAACATGTTAATGAGCTTGCTCCAAGAAGGGAATGGCTTCCATTCGCCAGTAACGAACGGGCTCTAGAAGTCCGCACAGTCCACTACCCTGTCTTTATCACGACTAAACGGTCACCGCCACACTGCCAATATTGGCAGACGTACCGACAGCATGTCCTCGATCAGCACCAGCAGGTACTGGATGGTGTGGTCCTTGCAGATGTGGCCCAACAGGTTGAGGAACGTCTTAGCGCACTGGTTGCTCTGCGCGCGCACCAGCGCGTTTCGCTGGCTCGGGTCGTTCAGGGCGTTGTCGTAGGCCACGATGAAGTTATAGTCTTCTTCGCTGATCATCTGAGACCTAGCAGACACAGGTCGGACGGTTGGCAGCGGCCGGCCTGACGCGTGCGTCCCAGCGGTATGGGTGAGAACGGCTCATGTTACGGGCTCCCGGTCGCTGGATGCGTTCTTTGGTTCACCGTTACATTGGATGCAGATCTCGTTCGCTTCCAACCGGGCCTTTTGCCCCGATAGTTCAGTTGGTTAGAGCGCTTGTATTCCGATTCACCCACCCGCGGCGAGGCGGGTTCGAGTCGCTTCAAGCGCTCGTTTGTTGCCCTTCACCGATATGGCTTGCTGCTGGTGGCAACAGTTACACTAAAAGTCAATTGACGTCAAAGGGTAGGAGGGACCGTCCCGAACATTGCACCAAGTCAAACTTTCGCCATAAAGCCCTACCGTTGGCCTGCAATTGCACAATCGGATGGTGAAGGGGGGGGGGGGAGGGGGAAGGGGAGGAGGGTCAAGACTCACACGAGCACTGTTTAGCGTGAGCTCTGATCACAACAATCCAGCCATGCAAAATGTTCGGAGTTAAAAAAAAGACACGACTGGATGGGCGGGGGAGGGGGGGGGGGGGGGGGGGGGTTGGAGAGGACGAATCCTAATACAATGAACAGAGTTCTATGTGAAAATAATAAACAGCGTATCTCATGGCAGCATTACCAGAACTGTCAGCCGATGTTTCAGCGTAAATATTGTGAGTCCAATTAGCCCCGTCCTGCTGCACACATGCTCATATGCGTCATGTCCGCACACTTACTGCAAATAAGACTGCCAGTTTATATTCTTGGACTTGATTTCTGCCGCCTGGACCTGCAGCAGTCCAGTGCATTCTGAAATCAAAGAAATCGATGCGTTAAGCGCCTTAGCAAAAAGTGAGCAGTTGGCCGAACACGGCCGACCAACGGTAAAGGGTAACGGAGAACAGAGCCCGTCATAGCTACAACACATAACATCAGCAGAGGAGCAGAGCCCGTCACAGTTACCACATCAGCCGACGTGCAGAGCCCGTCACAGCTACCACAGAACACATCAGCAGAGGAGCAGAGTCCGTCACAGTTACCACAACACGCAACATCAGCAGAGAAGCAGAGCCCGTCACAGTTACCACAGCACGCAACATCAGCAGAGAAGCAGAGCCCGTCACAGTTATCACAACATAAAACATCAGCAGAGGAGCAGAGCCCGTCACAGTTACCACAACACGCAACATCAGCACAAGAGCAGAGTCCGTCACAGTTATCACAACATACAACATCAGCAGAGGAGCAGAGCCTGTCATAGTTACCTCAGCACGCAACATGAGCAGAGGAGCAGAGCCCGTCATAGTTACCAAAGAACACATCAGCAGAGGAGCAGAGCCCGTCACAGCTACCAAAGAACACATCAGCAGAGGAGCAGAGCCCGTCACAGTTACCACAACACACAACATCAGCAGAGGAGCAGAGCCCGTCACAATTACCACAGCACGCAACATCAGCAGAGAAGCAGAGCCCGTCACAGTTACCACAGCACACAACATCAGCAGAGGAGCAGAGCCCGTCACAGTTGTCACAACATACATCAGCAGAGGAGCAGAGCTCGTCATAGCTACCACAGCACGCAACATCAGCAGAGGAGCAGAGCCCGTCACAGTTACCAAAGAACACAACATCAGCTGAGGAGCAGAGCCCGTCACAGTTACCACAACACACAACATCAGCAGAGGAGCAGAGCCTGTCAGTTACCACAACACACAACATCTGCAGAGGGGCTGAGCCCACTATGGAGAGGGAAAGGCCCAAATGCTGGAAAATGAGGTTTGCCTTGTTTTTTTCCTGGCCGTATCCTGCCGAGGCTGAGACGGCAGATCTCGCAAGCCGTGGCATATCTCCATAGAAATGGAGTACAGGCGCATACAACCGATGTAACCAAATCACATCCCTGCAAGTGATAAAAGGGCCATCATTTGCTTGGGGAAGGAGAAATCCCCCAAAGACATGCATGGCACACTATACCACAAATGCAGCAACTGAGCGACATGAAAATGATTGAGGTTCACGTAGCACCTATTACTTTGCTTGGTATTAAGCAGAGTTTAGCTCAGTCGACCCGCCCCCGTACGGACTTTCGTCCCTTCGACAGCTGAAGGCGTCGCCTCTTTCCCCAACAACGTCAGCTGAAGGCGACACGCCTCTCAGCCCCCATGCGATTGCCTAGACCCCGTCCACGCAACCCTCATTTCGCTAAGAGCAGCCGTCAATGTAGAAAGCCCCGATGAGGTCAACACTATCCTCAGAGCACCGGTGACTACATAGCCGGCTGCTACGGGCCCGGAGGCGTAGTGGACAAAGCACGGCTGCAGGCCCCACCGACAAGATGAAGTCTTACGAGCTGTCTAGTGGACGGGTTCCTATCTACCCTGCGTCTGCACTCTTCTAAGGCAATCAGGCCAACAAGGATTTGGTCCGATCGGCCGAATATAAATAACTTCATCAGTTTCGACATTTCTCTGAGCTTTGTTTGGCCTGCCTTGCTGGGTACTCACCCAATGTTTAGGAGACACCACCACGTAAAGGGCCAGCTAACACGGCACGTTTCAGTCCGCAATGTTGCGAAAAGCGTCGCGCCATGAACACCCAAAGACATGTGTTAGCATACATCACGGAAAGCACAGTCATGTCCTGACAATGATTGACAGCGGTTTCCATGAATGTGTGTGTGTGTGGGGGGGGGGGGGATGCACAAGTTTTACCTGGGCTCATCCCAAACACAGCCATAGGATTATTGCTAATTTGAGGTTTACTAGCTAATGGAACCAGTCACCCAGCATCACGATGGATGTCGAAACATCGATGTCGAAAACGGGCTGGTTGCAAAGAGACCGTAAATACTAGTTATCGTTCCGGATCTATGCTATGGCAGAAGAAGATCTGTATTGTGTGCCGTACATTGCCTGGAATAACTTAGATCTGTAACCATTCAATCGCTAATTTTCTCCCCTAATGGTCCCATTTTTTCTATCGATAGCAAATTACGCATCGATATGCTTAGAAAACCTAAATGACTAGACGGGCCGACCGAATGTGAAATCGTGACCCTGAGCACCTGTTCACATCCACATTCCGCGTTCTTTGGCCGCAGCACGCGCCGCTTGCCATGGGGAGGGCATCCCTGTCCGCGATGCGAGGGGGTGGCCGCGCGGTACGTACGCGCTACTGTCTCGGCCAATGGTGTAGTTTTACACGACATTTGCTTCGGATTAGGACGGAGCTTGAAAAAAAAACGTTCTATTTGTATGTAATGTATGGCCAGCACACTAACGAGCCGCCCGTCAACCGTAAGCGGACGGTGCCGGCGCGGGTGGCCTAGTGACGTCTCGAGTCCGGTAGGGACCGGTAGGCAATCCTGGCCCTGTACACCGGGGGCTCTGTAAATCCACCCCTGCCGCCGGCAGGGGAGCAGTGAAAGCTGATCCTGTCGCCGCGCCGACGCCCCTGAGACGAGCCGGCCCGGTAAACAAGGTGCCGCAGCAGCTGCGTAGTTTCGCGGGCCAGGTCTTTGACCGGACGACGGCCGCCGACAAGGCACGCGTCCACCGCCGCACAACACGGCACAGTCGGCCCGCCGAGCACGGCCAGGTGCACTGGCCAGCCCGCGGAGCAGGGGAGTCACCGGTCTGTCATTTGGCGGCATGGGCGTCTAAAGCCCGAGGGCAACACCGAACTGTCATGGTTTTCGCACTCGTGGAAGGTCAACGCAGTTAATGCCAGGAATGATAACCATACATGTCAAGACCAACTGCGTGTCGTCGGAATGAGAGTCCAAAGCAAGCAGCCTGTTGTTCTGAACTAAACGCCGACTCCAACGTGGGCTTGCAAAATTTGCATACAGGCGATGAGTCAGGTGATGCCCTGTCTTAACACCTTTAGTAGTTCCGGCAAATTTATAATACTCCAGTATCTACGAGCCGTTGAGCACGGATTCCATCAACCCCAGTGATGTTAACGCACATGCGTGGCTCTAGTCACTGGGCCAAGCCGCGTCTGTCAGGAACTATTGGGCCAGCACCAGCTCTCTCACTAAAGATTTCCCAGAACGATCCGTATTTCTATACGGTGTACATTGCAAGCACTGAACCTGAAGGCACAACTAGCTGTGAAACATCTGACATATTATGTGGCCAGAAACAAGATAATTCAGACTAAAGGACACGGCAAGGGTTCGGCGAACGTGTCTAGCCTTCGCGCATTTCCCAGCACGGACCAACCTGAGGCTGGTCGTGAAAAACGCTTACAAAAAAGCATAAACACGTGTAAAACATACTTAAAGTTCACAGGCCTTCAGAAGTTGGGGCAAACTGTTTGAAAATGACAGCAAAAAAGGAAAACAAAAAACAAAACTGACGGGCAGCATTTCCCGTACGACGCAAGGTTAGCTGGCCTCCATCCTAACGAAATGCTAATCTCACCGCGCCTGTGGCTAACAGAGTTTCACGAGAAGAAATACGGCTTAGGGTTCTTAAGTACATAATAAATGTAGTCTGCTTGTATTATAACCCATGAGCCTCCTGAAGAAACGTCCCATAGTTGGATGGCAAGGACTCAAACTTACTTGAGCGGTTGAACCAATCAAACAGGTCAAAGTCCTGGACCAGCTGCATGGTTCTTGGTAGCAAGTCCATTGCCACATATCTCTTCTCCGCTTCGTGCGCTTTGTTGCGCCGTTCGCGCTGGTCTTCACTGCAAGCAACTGCGATGCTGGGGTGGGGCTTCCATGGCCTGATCGGCCGAACGTATTCCAATTCAGTTTCCACACCACAAATTTTTGCTACGGCGCCTTGCGCATGTGCGTTCATCTTCTTGGCACTCTCGACGGTTTCCATGCCGGATACCCGTTGACACAACACGCACTAGGGTTACTTGTCTCCCCAATGAAGCCTACCCGGCCGCGGCGGCCCTGCTCCGTCGCACCCGCGCGTCCCACCACCACTCTGCCCGCGCAATAGTTATTTACATCGCCGCTCCCCTGCTCCGGCGCCCTTTGTATGCTTCCTGGCTATTTTCCCCGGCGGCGAGGAGCGTGGGTCGGGCCCACCAATCGCCGTAGGTCCGGCTGACGCAACCGTCCCCTCCTGGCCCTAATGAGCGGGCAGGCACCAGCGCCGCTCCGCCGCTGTATCGGTGGGGACGCCGCCGCTCAGGGGGCTGCGGTCGCCGGCTGACGGGGGTCCGCTCGGCCTGGGTCCGCGGTCCGGGTCACGGCTCGGCCAGGTGACACAGTCACACGTGCTCCGCAGTATCTACCCGTGCGCTGCACCGTCTGGCGGCCGGCTGTCAGCGTCAGCTCCGCACCGTCCGGCGGCCGGCTGTCAGTGTCAGCTCCGCACCGTCCGGCGGCCGGCCGGCGTCAGCTCCGCACCGTCCGGCGGCCGGCTGTCAGTGTCAGCTCCGCACCGTCCGGCGGCCGGCTGTCAGTGTCAGCTCCGCACCGTCCGGCGGCCGGCTGTCAGTGTCAGCTCCGCACCGTCCGGCAGTGCCCGGACGGCTTTCGTCAGTGTCAGCTCCGCACCGTCTGGCGGCCGGCTGTCAGTGTCGGGCCGTCTGGCGCCGGCTTTCGGCACAGGCACCGTGCCAGGCGGGTGCCTGATGGGTCTCCACTTCAACGACGGGGGGGGGGGGGGGGGTTGAGACAGATCGCAGGCTCATGAGAATACGGTAGTTCGAGACCCATGGCGGGCCCGCGCGTTCGTCTCACTGGTGTGTCTTGTTCTAAATGCAGCCCTGTGCATGCCTTATTTGGACAATTTCGTGTAGTGCATCGTTTTCCACGCTTTTATAGTGCATTCAGCCTAAACAGGCTTGGAAACCAGCACGTATATATGCACGCATGAGATTTGATCCAATTCAATGCGCTGCTTTTTGGAATGTTGTGGAAAATTATTCCTCCATAGGTAAGGAACGCGTAAACCCAAACTCACCGCAAGGCCATGCAAGACCTCAGGCCATGCAAAGCTATCCCCAGCCGCCCTTCATCTTTTATACATCATATCGAGGAGCGAAATCCTGAAAAATGGGTTCCTACAACTATCTTGGACAGCTACCATGTGACATGATCTTTATCGTCAGGCCCATGCCACGCAAAGGCGACGCTGGAAATCAAAACGAGCAAACTATGTTGGGACCTCACTCGGCCTTTTCACCTTTTCATGCAAATCATTGGCTTTCCCTGACCTCGGTGACATATGGTCACGAAAACCCCTGTAGTACTTCAAATTTTTAGACTTTGAGCGAAAAATTTGGTCAAAAACAGTACACCATGCCACCTCGACTAGCATTAGCTGACCTTTGGGGCTCGGATAGCCCGGGTGTGCTTCATTATCTCGTAACCACTATCGCTAATTCTCAGTCTGCCGAAGGACGTGTTCATAGGTAGGCAGAAGAGGAGAATGTTGGACCCGTGCATGTGCAGTTGACATGGCCAGCCCTGACCAGGAGTGCTGAAAGCCCGCGAGGGTCTCGGGGAACTCACCACAGTCTTACTTTTCGGTATTCGTAACTTACAATTCAAATCGTTGCGCTCAAGTATTTCAATGGTTTTAAGATGCGCATGAACGTACTCTGAGCTTTCGTGACCTTCAGTGAACACTATTTAATCAGAGGCCAAACGTTCTAAGCGTTTTCAAATTGTCATGGTGGTATCTTTCCACCGGCATGGATCACTTTTCGTGAGATACATGGCGGCCGAGATCTTGGAGAGGTTCCAATGCTTCCCCTCCCCCCGCCCCGGCCCACTAAAGGCGGTGCTAGACCGGCCCGGCACGGGCTACACGCCTACAAGAGTTAAGCGGCGATCGTTCCTTTCTACAGGGTTGTACAGCTGTCAATGTTGTGACATTAACTTCGGTGACGTCACGTCAACACTACCGTGATCCCATGCAGTCACTCGCCGTTGCTTATTTGTGTTTTCGGACGCGCCTACTGCGATGGTCCTTTTGCGCCCAAAGGTCTGGCTCACTCCGCCAGAGCCCCGCGCGGTGGTCCGTGCTAACCCACCGCGGCCGGCTCCGTCCAACCAGATTCCAGCACATGACCTAACAACGGCCCGCACATCGCACCGTTGGCGACCGTCAGATCGCGGGCATGACATTTACTGGTCAGGAGAGCATAGATATACTCCTATAAAACTGCTGCCTCTCCTCATTCATTTCGCATTTTTCCTTCTGCCAGCCATGCACCCCTTTACCGCAACTCGCCTGCAAAGGCTAAAGTTGAACAATACTGAATAATACAGACAGGACAATCCATCAAACACCACCAGAAAAGCATGGCAAACCTCAGAGGTGCAAATGCATAGCCCCAGGTGAGTAAGCAAGCATAACATCTGCTTCAAGACCAAACTATAGCATGCAACACATAATATCACACCAAGTCTAGTCACTGTCAGGAGCTGACCACCCATTCCTTCTTAAACATGTGCACAAATTTATTTTTTTATTTTAACACACATTTTATTTTTTTATTGCCACAAATTCTCTTCCCCTGGGTGGTATTTAGCCTGTGTTTGCAAAGAAATGGGTGGGAGCTGGTGGGATGAAATAATAATATTTGACACTTGTCTATGTTTACCTGACCCACTTGCTGTAAGAACCTGCTGGGGTGTTTTGTGATGATCTTGCCTAGACAACTAATCAACATTTTAGTTGTTACAACCCATCCCTCCACATCTCACTTCCCAAGTTATCAAGTTATTTCCTCCTGCAAAATGCCTCTAGATTCCAGATCCCCTCAAGGCATAATAAGCCATGCTTTATCAAATTCTCTGGGAGAATAATGTGGGCCACTGCAAGTTACAACATCTGTTGGACACAATCCAAGGTAAAGACAGGCTGAACATGTCCAGTTTATGATTTCAGATATTCAAAAATGATTTTTGGGCAACTATTTAGATTTAGAGACATCCACATGTGCAGAAAAGTAAAATGGCATTAGCTTCATAGCCTTGTTTTGGGTAATATTGATTTTACAATGTATTTTTATTGATGCACGAAGTTGCAGATCACTGGAGATTAGTATCCATCCAGTGTGTTTCCTGCTGCATCCCACCGTCATTCTTATGTATGCACACCAGAATATTCCATTATTTTTTTTTGCTTTTAACCAAACATTGTAGTTCCAAGAAAATCATACCTTGGGACAAGATCTGAAAAAGCAGCCATCTGGTAGTTAAGCATGTCAAAAGTCATATATTGTTGTTGCTCTGAAAATTATGCTAAAAATATTGCTGCATGAACCAGTACACAGATATCAATACTAGGTGCCTCCAGTCCTCTCAGGTTGCATTAAATCAATATATGAAAATGAATATGATAGATAAATAAGCACCAATTATAATTAAGATATACTGAACATGTGTTACTGGTTGTACAACCTCAAATACCATGTCCATGGCAAGATGAACTATTAACACTCTAGGTTTTATGGGATGTGGGGAAGCTAAAACCACAATCAACTAGGGACAGGGGAAGCATTACCCTGGTGTAACAAAAAGCAAAAATCCTGGGGATTGAGGCATCAGAATGTCCACTCTCAATTATGTTTCTGCTGGAGATGTGTAAAAAAAATTGATTCAAGCCCTAACATTATATCCACAGCATAACGGCAAGTGATCAAGGAAAACTCACACCACTGCAAACTATGCCCAGAGCAAAGATTATCTTTTTACAGAACATATACTTTTAATTCTGTAACTGCTATGGGAGCTTGAAAGAAATTGATTTCCAATTCATCACATTATAATCCGCATCTCAGACACCATTCTTATTTTCAACAGGAAATACATCACCATTTATTCAAATTTGGCTAAAAGGCAGCACATTGTTACTAGCTACCACCTGTAGTGATTTTAGATGGCCACAGCACAGTCAGAAATTCAGACACAGCCCACAAAACACTTACATGTGAACAGAACCACATAAAGCATACCCATGTATAAAAAGCGAATGCTGTACGAGCATCGCTATTGACTTACCTCCCAGCACAACATTCTCTGGCAGCGTAGACAAAATAGCCTCAATTGTTCTCCCAGCCGCCATCACAGAATTATGAGGACTACAAAGGCGTGTCTAGTTCTCACAATACAGAGGCGTTTGCCCTAATGTCCGATTATGTTAGGCAAAGCCTCCCAGTTAATAAAAAATATAGAACTTCAGTGAAACGCACCACGAGAACGTCCCTCCCACTCTAGCAGCAACAACAGATATTGTCACAGATGCGTATCGTTCAGTAGCGCTTTTCTCCATCATCACGTGAGGCTTATATTGAGATCCTAAGTCGTTTAAGAGGATTAAAAGGCCTTGTTTCGTCATTTTCATTTTCAAATGATGATAGCCTCAGTTATTGGTACTTGCTTCCCTTTCAAAATTAATTGACAAGTTAACAGTTTCCAGTGAATATGCTTGTTTATCATTCATGAAAAGTACTTTCGATAAGATGTCTAAAGGAGAGCATAGCTTGTCACTTTGTCCATCTCTAAGACATCCTCTCACGCCGAGTAGCTTTAAACCATATCGACGCACGGTGCAACAACAGTGATCTTTTTAAGATCTTCTATTATGTATTATAGAGAAGACCGAAATTTCTTTGCATTGCAGGGTAAATATGCTCTACGCTACGGTCGGCTTTGCAAATAGGTCAGGGTTTAAAAACAGCATACGAAGCAGACGTTTTTTTAATTGGGTCAAGCAAGGCCTCTTTTTCCCTCGACGGACCTTAAGTCACTTCCGATTGGGGGGGGGGGGGAGGGAATTGACTTCCGGCGTAAGGCCAGGCAAGGATTACGTTAAACCGGCTTATGTTGTCCGGTGCAAAGCAAGGGAGGGGTTATTTTGAAGTGACGTTACGTTAACCGGGCTCATTTTTGCCCAGCAAGATCATAGCAAGTAAAACAGACCGCAGCAATACATATATTTATTTAATCACGACACAATACGCATTCAGTACGCTTGAA